AGAGACTGTGAACATAGTACAGGGAAAACGCCAGGGACTGCGGACACAGTACAGATGACCAGAGACTGCAGACAGTACAGGGGATGACCAAGAGACTTCAGACCTTTGGGGAGGGAGGGGGAGGGGTACCTAAAGTTATCCTTTCTTTAGTGTGGGCACGCTGGCTTCTTCCTGCCCCGGCATCTGTGACAGCCAGGTGCCCACTGCGCATGCGCGAGAAGTGCTGCGCTTTGTGAATGGCCCGGAGCCTTCTGGGACCTGTCATGTGTCTCAGAAGTCGCCGGATCATTCACAAAGCGCAGCGCTTCTCGCGCATGCGCAGTGGGCACCCGGCTGTCACAGAAGCCGGTGCGGGAACACTGTACAGCACTGGACAGAGGAACAGGTAAGGTCCTGCAGGAGAGAAGAGCTGAGCGGCCGGCCCGGTATTCTGACATGGTGGTGGTGGCGGAAATACCGGTCCGGCCGCTCCATATTCGCTCCATAAGACGCACTGACATTTTCCCCCCTTTTTTGGGGGGAAAAAAGTGCGTCTTATGGAGCGAAAAATACGGTATATCTTTCACTTGGTAGTTATAATTTGCATTGAGTAAATGCAGCTGGATGAAACAAAAACTGTGTCTGTATTCATTTCAGGCTGCAAAGCAACAAAATGTGATTATTTTATAGGGGAATGATACTTTTCTTTACTCACTGTAATTATAATTGTTTACAATATAAAAAGCTAAAGGAGTGTTCGACATTTGACTGAGGTGGAAGAGGTATAAAATATATACATAATATAGGGCTATGGGGAAAGTTGGTGAGCTGGGGAGGGGGGGGTGGGTGCACAATCCAGACTGTGGGTGGAAAGGAGCATGCAAAATAAATCTGACTTGGTGGGAAATGACACTGGTGTTGCTGCAGAGTACACCATGTATGTTAAAGAGATACTAAACATTGGTTAAAAAAAGTTCTATTTAAGTATGTATTCTTCAATATGTATGCAGTTTAAAAAAACATCTAAACTCAAATCCATGCTGCAGCTGGCCCCTGCCAGCTTTAAGCCCAAGAACTGCGCAGTCACTTGGTTGCTCAGTTCTCTGTCTCTCTTGAACAGAGTGATGACTGTAAGTTACCGCTCTCTACTCTGCCCCTCCAGGGCTAACTGGAGCACTGGGCGGAAAAGGGGAGCAGGATCAGCTGGCTCAGTCATACTGACAGGCTGAGCCAGCTGCCAACCAGGCATTCGGGTGGATCCCAAAAATATGGTCAGGATCCCTCCAGAGTCTGGAGTGACTCTGTGATCTCAGCTGGCAGTAGGCTTTAGCTCTTCTGGGCCACAGGAGAGCAAAGTAAAGTAAACCCGAGTGACCCACAAAAGAAGAATGACCAAAAAGCTTTGGCCATATTTCTCTTTTAAAGTAGTTGTGAACTTACTATATTATAGATACTCTCTAATAAAGTCATAATATGCAGACACCATAACTGCTTTTGCTTCATTTCAGAAATTATGTTTTACCTGTTTTACAAGGGTAAAAAGTTATGTCATGTGACCATGCATCTGTTCTTCCTAATAGTGGGGGATGGGGTTACAGGACACACTCTCTGCCTGTATTCCATAGTTTGTTCAGCCTGAGGCAAGATGCCAGCTAATCTTTAGCAGGGGGCATGTTTAAGAGGCAAATGTGATTAGGACCGGTTCTATGCCAGAGGCGGGCTGTGTTTGGTGAGGGGTGTGGTGGCTCAACAAACTACTTAATACAGGCATGCTGTGTGTCTGCACAGTGTCCTGTACCTTTGAATGACCAGCCAAAATATGAAAACTGAATACACTAACATAGACCAGCTTCTGTGCTTTGTGTGGTCAGTTTAGAACAAGAAAGGAAGGTGACTGGCAGGATCAACCAAGCACTACAGATGGAAGAAGTACATGAACATGATAGAAACTATGATTTATAAAATACACATATGTGAACAAACACATAGACAATAAATAAATATTTCTAGTAATCTACACTCTAACCCAAAAATTATCTTCTTTCACTCTCAGCCTGCATGTAGGAATGTAGCCATCCTCTCTTGCTCATTCCTGAGATGGACTATGGGATTTGTAGTGTGCATAGAACAGTACACATGACCACAACTAAATTGACAAGACATGAGGGGGAGAAGGAGATGGTAGGGAGCTCACAGATGATGTTACAAGGAGGCAGAAAAACAGTAAGAAATAATTAAATGAAAAATAGATGACAGGGCCATTAAAGTGTTACTAAACCCACAACAGTAAAATCAGTCTGTATATGCAGTAAAGCATGCTTGCTGTACTCACTATGAAACTTAAGGGGTTAATCCTCTGCATTGTGTAAAAAGGATGTCTCTGATCCTTCTCTTCTTCCACTGTCCCCGACTCATCTCCTGATAGAACACAGCCTTGGGGGCAAGCAGTACATTACTCAGTTTGGTGTGTATTGCTAGAGGGTTTTTTTTTTCTTGGGAGAGTGCATGTGATTAGCACCGGGTCAATCAGCACTGTCCAGACAGAGGTTAGGGGTCCTGCAGCCTCATAGGACAGTGAAAGGAGAATGAAAACTCCTCCTACAAGCTTTAACCAGTGCTCTGCTGGACACTGATAGAAGTCACAAGACTGCTTTAACTGCTAATGAGAAAAGGTATTTAGCAGTTTATATTTACTATAAATAATTGCACTTCTATATTATGTGTACTGTGGGAGACCAGATATGGTGAATACAGGGCCCTGGGTTTAGTAACACTTTAAGTGATGTCTGTGTAAGGATTGTTTTTTTTAGACTAAGGATATAGGATATAATTCAGTGTCACTTTAATATAACTAGCAAATGTGATCTGTGACTTATAATGCAGAAAATAATTTAGAGAAGGGATATTGCCTAAGCCAGTGTTTCTTAACCTTTTTTCAGTCAAGGCACCCTTTAAAATTATGGACAGTCCCAAGGCACCCTTTAAAATTATGGAGAGTCTTGAGGCACCCCATTCTAAAGTGTGAAAAACTATTCTAATAGTTTTATATAACGCAGCAACATCCACACATGTAGGACACCCAACATTAGAGGTGATTTATTCTTCCAAAGCAAATACACTTTTACACAGTGGTACTGACTAGTATTCCAATGTTTCTCTTCTCCCTCAGTTTTTCTCCATCACTGAGCTAATGTGACCCCAGCACTGACAGAGAGAGGCAAGAGAGGGTCAAACTAGGATGCTGTGCAGGCAACTGACATCCTCCTTATCAACTGATGATGTCATTGGTTGTCAGGAGCCTGCGGATAGAAGGTCGTAATAGAGCCTGTGTGCCTGTAATGAAAACATGTGGCTTTGCGTAACCTAAAGGCAGGCTTGTTCCACCCAGTGGCTTGTATACAAGTTTTTGGCAATTTTTGGACATTTTTCCAAGGCACCCCTGAAGAAACCTCAAGGCACCCCAGGGTGCACTTACTTCCATCAAACCAATATATTTGCAAGAATAGGGAAATGGACTGAGAGTGTGCTAGAAAGGGACACTTGTTTTATAGACTGGAATATACCGTAATCTTTCACATTATTGTAAAATCAAAAACCTTCAGTAATGCAAACCCTTGGTAATGAAAAAGGGGATTCCACCATCAAGTGGTGAAAGTCTAAACCTCTGTCGTGTACAAAGACTAGAGTAATATAACTTCACCGCTGATTTTTGATCAGTAATGAAAGTTTATTTAGCCTGTACTAAATACATTTTGCTGAAGAGCCTAGAAGAAGAATTAACACTGACATGAAATCTCCAGTCTTATTCAAATAGAGCTAGGGGCCCTAGGAGGGGGATGCAGAGTGACAGGATGTGACGAAGAATCCAAAGTGAACTAAGACATTGACTAAAACATTAAATCTGAACTCCATTAATTATCTGTATTGTGTATCTACAAGGTTCCAACTTGGAACAATGTAAGTTTGCGCGTGTCATACCTAGAGGCCACTGGAGAGGCTAAGAATCATTGTAGTAGCAGGCACTACTACAGTGATGGCTATGATCTTCCAAGCCCAGTGTAAGCAGCTTCTCCTCTGAGCACTGACCACTGGGGGTCACTTGCTTGGCACTGCCAGCTTTCATAGTACACCTTGTATTTTGTCGTTGAATACAAGGCATTATCTAATTGGATGAGGTATTGATTGTGATGTTACTGCCCCTCCTTACCACCTCACCCAATCAAAGAATACCTTGTATTTACTGAAAACAAAACAAGGCACACTATGAATTGTTGCAGTGCCAGGCAAGAGCCCCCCTGTGGTTAGTGTGCAGAGGGGAAGATGCTTACACGCAACCTGGAAAATCATATTCACTGTAGTAGTTAGTTTCAGCTTCATCAGGGGCCCCTGAGGTATGAGATAAGAGGTATGCGTATTTATATAGGTCCATGGGGTCCACGCTGGACCAATGTAAGTATGCAAAAACAATCATACCTGGAGTTAAGCTTTAACCACTTGCCTACAGGGCACTTATCCTGCCCAGGCCAATTTTCAGCTTTCAGCGCTGTCACATTTTGAATGACAATTCCGCGGTCATGCAACACTGTACCCATATGAAATTTTTATAATTTTTTTGTGACAGATAGAGCTTTATTTTGGTGGTATTTAATCACCTCTGGGTTTTTTATTTTTCCTTAAACAAACCAAAAACCACTGAAAATTTTGAAAAAAAAACTTTTTCTTAGTTTTTGTTATAGAATTTTGTATTCCCAAATTGATTTTTTCACTGATGTGCGCTAATGAGGGTGCAGTGATGGGCACTGATAGGTTGCACTGATGGACACTGATAGGTGGCACTGATGGGCACTGATGAGGAGGCACTGGTAGGTAGCACTGATGGGGCACTGAAAGGCAGCACTGATATGGCACTGATAGGCAGCACTGATATATAGGCACACTGATAGGTGACACTGATAGGCGACACTGATAGGTGACACTGATAGGCGACACTGATAGGTGACATTGATAGGCGGCACTGACTGGCACTGATAGGTGGCACTGACTGGCATTGATAGGTGACACTGACTGGCACTGATGGGTGACACTGAAACGCAGCTCAGATGGGCACTGATATGTGGCATTGATGTGGCACTGATTGGCATGGAAATGTGACACTGATGTGGCACTGATGGGCACTGGCAGGTGGCATGGATGAGCACTGAGAGCTGGCACTGATGGACACTGACAGGTGGCGCTGCTGGGGCTACACAGATCATCAGGGCACACGGATCATCAGTGCTCTGATGATCTGTGTACATGTCCCCTCCAAGGAATGCCGATTACTGGCTCTCCTCTCCTCACAAGCTGTCAGCGTGACAGCTCGTGAAGAGAGAAATGCTGATAACCGGCATTTCCCTGTTTACATGTGATCAGCTGTGATTGGGAATCAGATTGGGAATCAGATATTCCCTGGATCAGCTTTACCTAGAAATGTTAGTATCCAGCTATTTTCTGTGTATCTAAGAAAAAATCCAGGCCTTTTTTAAAGCAATCCACTGAGCCGGCCAGAACCAACTCTTGAGGGAGTCTATTCCACATTTTCACAGCTCTCACTGTGAAGAAACCTTTCCGTGTTTGGAGATTACATTTCTTTTCCTCCAGACAAAGAGTGCCCCATTGTCTTCTGTGATGACCTCAGGGTGAAAAACTCTACACTGAGTTCACTATATGAACCAATTATGTATTTATACATGTTGATCATATCCCCCCTTAATCTCCTCTTCTCATGAGAGAATACATTTAGACCCTCTAATCTTTCCTCCTAGCTGAGCTCCTCCATGCCTCTTTTCAGTTTGCTTGCCCTTCTCTGTACTTTTCTCCAGTTCCCCAATGTTCTTTTTGTGAATTGGTGCCCAAAACTGAGCTGCATATTCCAGATGAGGTCTTACTAATGATTTGTACAGGGGTAAAATGATATCTCTCTCTCTGGAGTCTATACCTCTTTTAATACAAGAGAGGATTTTGCTCACTTTAGAAACTGCAGCTTGGCATTGCATGCCATTATTAAGCTTGTGATCTACCAGAACTCCCAGATCCTTCTCCACCATTGATTCCCCCAGTTGTACTCCCCCTAGTATGTATGATGCATGCATATTCTTAGCCCCCAAGTGCATAACCTTACATTTATCTACATTAAACCTCATTTGCCACATAGTTGCCCAATTAAACAGTGCATTGATGTCGGCTTTTCAGTTGAAGACATCTTGTAAGGGCGTTATTCCACTGCACAGCTTGGTGTCATCTGCAAAGACTGAAATGGGATTTTTAATCTCAGACCCTCTATCATTTATAAATATATTAAAAAGTAAGGGTCCCAACACTGAACCATGGAGTACACCACTGACAACCCTAGACCATTCAGAGTATGAATCATTAACCACTACACTCTGAATACGATCATTTAGCCAGTTTTCTATCCATTTACATACAGATTTTTCCAAGCCCATAGACAAACGCCAAGTATACCACGTCCACTGCCACTCCTCTGTCCAAGGTTTTGCTCACCTCCTCATAAAAAGAAATCAGATTTGTTTGACAACTTCTGTCTTTCATGAATCCATGCTGTCTGTTGCTTAAAATATTTTTTTTTCCAGCAAGAACTCATCTATGTGGTCTTTTATTAAACTCTTCAGTATCTTCCCAACTATAGAAGTTAAACTAACAGGTCTATAATTACTTGGTGAAGATTTTGACCCCTTTTCAAAATATTGGCACTACATTGGCCTTACGCCAATCTAGTGGTACTATGCCAGTCATTAAAGAGTCCCTAAAAATTAGAAACAATGGCTTTGAAATGACAGAGCTCAATTCTTTAAGGACCCGTGGGTGTATGCCATCCGGTCCAGGTGCTTTATTCACCTTTATTCTGTCTAAATATTTTTGGATCATATCAATTGTGAGCCAATGTGAATCATCTGGAGCTGTGTCAATACCATGCCCATTATGGACAAGAGCTTCCCCATGCTCCTTTGTATACAGAGAGCTGAAGAAGGTATTTAATAGATTTGCCTTCTCTTTGCCCCCAGTCACCCACTCTAGATTATTTTGTAAAGGGCCCACATGCTTGGACTGGACCTTTTTACTATTAATATATTTGAAGAATTTTTTGGGGTTGGTCCTGCTATCTTTTGCAATCTGTTGTTTTAAATTTTTGTGGACTTTATTTCCTTTTTTGCATATTCTGTTATATTCTTTGTAATGTTTAAATGATGATAGCGTTCTTTCATTTTTATGTTTAATAAAAGCTCTTTTCTTATTATCTATAGCTTTTTTAACTTTGGCCGTACGCCGCATAGGTTTGATTTTTAGCCTTTTAAACCTGTTGCCCATGGGAATATATTTTGCAGTGTGTTCACATACAGTCTTTTTGAAGAACTCCCATTTCTGTGTTGTGTTCATTGATGCCAATATTCCCTCCCAGTCTAAGTCTTGGAGAACAGCTCTCAGCCTTGGAAAATGAGCTCTTTTAAAATTGAGCATTTTTATTTTTCCCATATGTGCTTGCTGTTTACAGCTCACAATAAATTAAATCATGTTATGGTCACTGCTACCCAGATGTTCTTTTATATGGACATTCATAATAAGCTCAGCATGGTTTGAGATTACCAGTCCAGCAGAGCATCACTCCTAGTTGGGGCCTCTATGAACTGTACCATAAAATTGTCCTGTAGTAGGTTTAAAAATGTTTGCCCTTTTAGGCTACGTTCACACTAGCTCTGTCAGCAGGCATCAGACTGGCATTTGGGAAGCATTTTTAATGCTTCTCAAACCCCTCTGAAAATTCTGCACATGGCAGCACACAGTGCTGTTCACACACGGAAGCCTCTGGTCGTGTGAGGAGGAGTTGAAGCCTCTCATTCAAGTCTATGGTGCCACTCCGTAAATGCCTGGCTGGCGTTTGTGGTGCAGTTGCGACACGGTTGCGAGGCGTTTGCAGAGCGTTAATACCATTTAAACTTCATTATAGGCATTTGTGGTGTGGTTTTAATGCTTGGCAAACGCCTACCAACCGCTACAAATCCGTGCATAAGGCATTTTTGGAGCGTTTGCGGAGCATTAAAAACACTTCACAAATGCCTGTCTAACGCTTGTCAAATGCTATAGGGGCATTTGGCAAGAGTTAGAAATAAAGTCAAGTGTGAACGAGCCCTAACTGTTCCTGCAGTACCATTACTCCAGTGAATTTGCGGGTAGTTAAAATCCCCCCTTATTATCACTGTCCCAGCCCTTGCAGCCCTTTTGATCTGTTCAAGGAGCTGAGTCTCTACCGCCTCAATAACACTGGGAGGCCTATAACAAACTCCAATGATTGCCTTTGTAGTATGCACCCCCGTGTGCAGTTCCACCCATAATACTTCAGCCTCATCACACTCTCCATCAACTAGGTCCTCTTTCACACTCGCTCTGAGATCACTTCTCACATAGGGACAGACACCACCACCTTTCCTATTTACCCTGTCTCTCCAAATGAGAACATAGCCAGGAATATTAATAGTCCAGTCAAGTGAAGAATGAAGCCAAGATTCAGCAATACCAATTAAATCATATTTCTCTTCATTCACCAAAGCTTTCAACTCACCTATTTTGCTTGGCTTTAATCCACACTTTAAGTCATGGATACCTTGTTCACACGTATTTTGAAAATTTTTTATTTTAATACAAATGGTACCAATTCCACTAGTTATTTGTAACATGGGAACCTTCTTATAATCTGCCATAGCCTTCCCCCCATCTTTCTCCATTCCACCCACCAATAAGTACTGACCCCTGTCTGCTCTGTCTACCCCTTTATAATCTAATGTTCCCTCCCCCATTCAATCCTAGTTTAAATACTCCTCCAGCCTTCCCATAAACCTCTCCCCCAGCACAGCAGACCCCCTTCCATTTAGGTGCAAACCATCTCTAGCATATAGGTTGCACCTCAATGAAAAGTCAGCCCAGTGCTCTACAAACCCAAATCCTTCCCTCTTACACCAGGTCTTCAGCCATGCATTAAGTTCTCTAATCTCCCCCTGAGTTGCGCATGGCACAAGTAATATTTCAGAGAATATCACCTTGGAGGTCCTGCCCTTCAACTTGCAGCCTAGTTCTTTAAATTGATTCTTAAGGAGCCTCCACCTTCCATGTATTCTGTCTTTGGTTCCAACATGGACCAAGACAGCTGGGTCATGCCCAGCCCCTCCCAGTAATTTATCAACCCGGTCCACCACATGCCAAACCCTGGCACCAGGGAGACAGCAAACCATTCGGTTGAGATGATCCTGGCAACAAATTATTCTATGAGTCCTTCTGATTATAGAATCCCCTACTACCACCAGCTGTCTAGGCCTTCCTGCACTACCCTCACCACCCCTCCTAGATGGTCTGCTCTCATGTTAGGGATAGCAGTGACATCCAGGGCTGCCACCCCTGAGCTTGCCACCCCCACATCTTCACCCAACTTGGCAAATCTGTTTGGGAGCACAAACCCAGGGCCAGCCTTCCTTTTCTGTAAATCCCTACCACTCCCTCCCATTACAGTAACCCATCTTCCTACCTGATAATCCTGATTAGCCCCTCCACATCAATCCCATTAGCTACCTTCTCAGAGAGCAGAAGACCCCTTTCAAGGTTGTCGGTTCTACCCAGTGTTGCAACTTGCTCCTCCATATCTCTAACGCGAGTTTTCAGAAGAGCAATCTGCTCACATCTGTCGCAGAGGTATCCATCCTGGAGCTGTTGCCCCATTGCTGCATACACACATTGTGCACTGCACAAAACCTTCCACTCTGCTAGCACACATTATGCCAGTTACAATATTAACAGAAAATATCAGTTGTCACTTACAGGTTAGTGGTCTCCTGTTATAATCTTCTGTTTTCAACTCCGGTTTTTTAACTCCACCTATCAAATGTCCACTTAGTCAAAGATCCAGCAACCAAAATACAGGCAAGTTAAAAAATGAGCAAGCTCAGAGTGAGAGCTACTGCAAAAAATGCCAGCGGTAGGACTGCAGTATATACAGAGGTCCCTTGGCATGGATACTGTGGCTTATGCATATATTTGCAAACGTGGGCAAACAAAACCCTCTGTTTGCAACGTAAACTCTTAGATAGGGCCAATTTGGTTGTTTTTAGGCTGGCTGGTAAATGTGCTGGGAAATCCTTTGTTTGTTTGTGATTTCCCCAATGGAGACACAGATGGTCCAAATCCATTCTTTCCCTGGTGTAATTAAAACTAAAATGACAGTCCCTTGATCCCATTGGGAAAGGGAGCCTTGACTGCGGGGACTATGGCCTAGTTACAAAGGCAGTGCCAAGTGGATGAACTCTAAATGGGTTAAGGTAATTGGTCATTTGGTAACAGGGTTGAGGGGTGGTGCCTGAACTCTGTCAAAAGTTCTGTC